GGTTTCGTTGATGAAGGCGAACAATGTGATTGCGGTCTACCAAACGTGAGTTACCGACGTGACGTAGCTCCTCACGCCTTTTGAGTTCACTGACCTTTGCCCGTTTCAGGTGTGTGACAACAAATGCTGCAACGCGACCACCTGTAAGTTCTCGTCCGGTTCAGTTTGTGCGAATGGAGATTGCTGCGACGTCAGTACATGCCAGGTGGTTGTTTTTCTTTGCTTTCTTTGAATTCTGATAAAATGTTTGCGTCGAGGCGGTTTGGAGGCATATGATTAAAGTCAGATTTAGACACTTTAATCAGGGAGTGCATTTCAGCAACATGGTTATCGATAACAGAATGGTATCGTATGTTCATGGTTTTTTTGATGACTGCTGCTTGTCTTACTGAAGCCTTTAAGGGCAACATAAGTCATTGCGTATCGAAATGGAACTTTACACGTCTGTGAGTGACGAAATTATACCACAACCCCGCGACACTTCGTTTTCTCGTGTAGTTATGCGTTTATGAGCATGCTTTCAGCAGCTGAACTGGTATTTGTTGGATTTTGACATAATAGCTATACACATTGTCACTTTTATAGCTGTATAATTGCTGACAAATCGTCAAGCTTGAAAGTAGGCGATACGATTATATGCAAACTGTGTTTCACACATATTATTCAATGTTACAGCCATAAGAAGGTGCTGAAATTTTGCTCTGATTATTACTTCACAACAACTTCATCAGAGTAACACCAGAGCAGACATCAAAGACTATAGCTGCCAGCGTTGCTACTAAAAGCTTTAAAACTCGTATCCTACCACAAGCGGAATCATAGAGTGGAGTTTTCGTTATGTAAATTCGTCAATACTCAGTCGCTGTTGGGAATCATTCTTTTTGATTATCGTTTTGAAGCCATGGATTCAAACTTATGATTGCAGGAGACTCGCATAGATTCGATTGTTTCTGAAGTCAGCAGCTGCCGGGCTCTGATTATCCGCGCTTGGATACTGCTGCCGTTCTATGGCAGTCGTTTTTTTTAGATTGTTTCGCTATTGCTTTTTTTTAATTGTCCCGTTTATTTATTTAAATCTATCTTTGTATGCTTACGCACAGTCCTTCTGTCACCCTCTTAAATTCAAGCCACTCGCGATGCTAGTAAGGATCATTATCCCAGCAGTTGTTGATTTTGTGATCTCTCGTACCTGTGATTCCCCGTTTTCAGATGCAAGATCATTTGATCGGATTTTGTTCTGGATTGGGCAGTGGTCTCAATAATTTAACGAATGAGTGCAAAAACAAGTTGTGTAACTTATTGAAAACAATCTAGATTCCAACCAAACACTCGCTATCATTGAAACTTCCTATGGAATACATACCTTGCGTTGTATTAAAAAAGATAGTCAAACGCATTTGATAACTTGTTGACAGTTACTTGTCTCTATCATTCGCTTAACACTGAACAACTGCTCGTAAGGTAAAGTTTACTACTATATACTTAACAGCGCACTGTACACTGTCACTAGCATAACATTACCGGTGCGATGCGAATGCTTTTGCCTCTGAATAACTGTAGATCTTTCGAAGGGCAGTCAAGCTGTACCAGAAGTAACTGAACGGTGATCGTGTGCGCGCACAGTCTTAAAAGTGTGCAGCCAGTTAGTCGCTACTCGCTAGATAAAAAAGGTTTTCCTACTCACTGGTTATCATATGACATTTGACACGTTGCTTTCCTAACACGTTATGCATATGGTATATGATTTGGTTGCTTTATACTGCAGGTGACTGACGTTGCCTATAAATCTGCTTTGACAATTTGACTTATTGTCGCTAAAATTTTACTCTTATTTTTGTGTTAGTTAATTTTCATAAATGTTTATTTTATCGATGCTGAAAGGCAGCATTCTTTAATCGTCTTGCCCATGCAGTAAACTTTTATTATGAGCGTAGAATTAGCAGAATAGCAAATCTTAGTCATGATTCGAGCGTGTGAGTCATGAACACTCGTATAAATTTGATTCATGGAAGTAGTCTGATTGTTATGCGTCATACAAACGTTGTTTAGTTGGCCATGGCAGTTTTCTTCATAATTTTGTTCTCGTTTTACTATTATTTATATGCTGGAACAGTTTATTCGAGTGCTGACACGCAGCAGAGATGCAGTTTTTTTGTCAAGCTCACACTTGTCAAACGATAGGTCATTATTATTGCTTCAGCCGTATCCCATGGCAGTTGTTGTTGTCAACGTCATCTGATGCATCAGAGTACCCAGATTAATGATGTCTGCGTCATTTTAAAGTCAACGTCGTTATGCTAGGTTGCTGCTGAGGCTGACTATTGATGGAACTGAACTACTGACCCACCCTGCAGCTGAAGTCGTCTGTCGATGATGCGAGCATCATCGAAGCGCGTCTGATCGACGCAAAGTTCTTATCCTGTACCATGGTTGACACTGTTACAAGGTGAAACGATTAATGCTTCCCTGACGCCAAATTCTGCTGTTGACGACAATGGTACTCTGAAATTCCGGAGACTGTTTCCATCTTTTATCTTGTGCTGCAAGACACTCGAGCTGATCTCTGCTGTCGTACATTCAATACAATACATTACGCACTGTATTTGCCACATACCTGCTGTCGGCATTCCCGGCTATTGGTATGGAAATGGAGTTCAGCGCACACCTACCTTTCTGTTCATGAAATGGAGATCGTCAGAAGAATGACCTGTCATGAAAGTGAAGGAAGGCCGTCATTTGAACGATTGCAAGCTATCCTTTCCTTTTTGTTTATGCTTGATGGGGTGAGGCTTTGTTTTCTTCCAGGATGCTTCATTTGAACGTGCCGCTCTCGTTCATCAGCGACTATTCATCCATTCTGCTTTCTCACTTAACATGTCAGTGCTTGTTCTCCCTTAAATGACGCTGTTTCTTGTTTTTTGCATATTTCTCCCTGAAATTATGTTTCAGTTTGAAAATCCAGTGCCGAATCCTTTCCAGAATAACGCATTACAGCGCTAAGTTTATTTGAAAAATTTCATATATGTACGCTGGACGGTCTGCCATTTCTTTTACCGTTCTGTATGTGGGCTAATCACGAATGAAGTGGTTGTTTCCTGGAATGTAGGTTTTTTCATAAGGCCGTTTCGCTTCGAATTCTGCTTGTTTCAATAAATATTTTGGCAGATTTCTGTCATCTCATCCTTGAATCGGCATCTCACCCTTGATATGTGCAAATTTCAGAGGATAGTTCAACAGTTGGATACAGTACAAAAGTGGGAAACTTTAATACCACATGGACTTTTAAGGCAACGCTGAGTTGGCCGTTTCTTATAAATCTGTGGTCAACTTGACTGTTACCATCCAAAATAATAATCCGACCATATCGATATGAACTGAAACTGATTTGCTTCTCAGTCCAGACTGATAATGTTTTTTACTACATTACTGCATAAGCTTCCCCCGGCTACATTAGACACGACCTAAACTGAGGTGTGTACACTGCAGGCAACAAGATGCAGGCTACTAAGATGATTTACATATAAATACCGTTATGAACGGCCCAAATATCGTTACGACCTCAACAATATGCGTATAGGCTTTACTGTAAACACTGGCTCTTACCGGTTACACAGGTACGGCCTGTTCTATACGGTTCGTTTTCTGAAAAAAGACGGATATGTTTTTAGGAGCGGGCGATTTCACCCTTGTCTTACGCGCCAATAAGTTAATTAGCTTCCGATTACGGCTTCTTCCTTGTAGTATTGTTTTCATAAAATGGCCTGCTGGGTGTGGCGAAACACGTCAATTTCCTCGCGGGAAACAGCTTATATGCTTTCGATTCATTCTCTCAGTCTCATTGTTTCACATCGCCATGGTAATACCTTACCTGAATTATTAGATTGAATATAGTTTATAAAAGAAATTTTTAGTAGCTTGCAGGCGAATGTTCTTGGTGTGGTCTGCAAGTGCATTTCTTTTTATCTTATTTATATACCGTTTGATTTTTTTCTTACTTTCTTCCGGACTTTTAAACAACAGTGCTTTTCTACCAACTGCTTTAGTAGTAAAATTTTAGATTCCTGAAGATGGTGAAAAGTTTTGGGTAGTAGAATTTCAATATCCGTTTAAAACAGTGTTATCTGGTGTTAATGTTTATTTGTTTAGTTCAAACCTGTCGCTTCATTGTGCAGAAGGGCGAAGACCCAGTGTGACTTGCCTGAGTTCTGTGATGGGAAGTCAGAAGAATGTCCAGCAGACACCTACAGGCATGATGGCTCTCCTTGCAAAGGCAAAGAGGTGATCAACCATCTTAATATTTTACTTTGTCATACTCTGGTATCTGTCATTGTTTCATGTTTGATGTTTTTACAAGGTATTATGTTGATTGTTACACTACTGAAATCTCAGTATAGTCTGCAATGTGCCGGATCTTAGGCAAAACCAAAGACCAGACAAGGCAGGTCACATGCTCTGAATCTGTCACAGGAATAACGAATTAACCATTACTAATCCCGGCCACAGCTACGGTGAAGTCATGAATCAACCCTCGCATATATGAATTACGTT